TGAAAATTAAAAAATGCTACAATGAGAAATTAAAGAATATATATTTTTAAAAATGTAGTTATAACCCTGGCCAGTAGCTCAGTGATTAGTGTTGGCCTGAACACCAAAGGGTCATGGGTTCGATTCCTGATATCTGGGTTGCAGGTTCTATCCCTAGCCCTGGTCGGGGTATGTGCAGGAGGCAACCAATCGATGAGTCTCTCTCACATCAATGCTTTTCTCTCTGTCTCGCTCTTCCTCCCTCGCCACTCCCTTCCACTCTCTGGAAAACAAAAATTAAAAACTGCTACAATGAGAAATTAAAAAAATATGTATTTAAAAAAATCTAGTTATAACCCTGGCCGGTAGCTCAGTGCTTAGTGTTGGCCTGCACACCAAAGGGTCATGGGTTCGATTCCTGATATCTGGGTTGCAGGTTCTATCCCTAGCCCTGGTCGGGGTATGTGCAGGAGGCAACCAATCGATGAGTCTCTCTCACATCAATGCTTTTCTCTCTGTCTCGCTCTTCCTCCCTCGCCACTCCCTTCCACTCTCTGGAAATCAATGGAAAAAATACCCTCAGGTGAAGATGAAAAAAAGAACAACAATAAAATCTAGTTATAAACAACTGTGTAATACCTAATGAGAGGGAGCAGAATATAATAATTCATTTAAACTGTGACACCAACTCAGGATTATGTATGCATATATTTTGCCAACATTTTTCTAGAAGTTCGGCCCTGGTAGGGGTATGTGCAGGAGGCAACCAATTGATGTGTCTCTCTCACATCGATGCTTTTCTCTTTGTCTCGCTCTCCCTCCCTCGCCACTCCCTTCCACTCTCTGGAAATCAATGGAAAAAATACCCTCAGGTGAAGATGAACAAAAGAACAACAACAATAAAATTTAGTTATAAACAACTGTGTAATACTTAATGAGAGGGAGCAGAATAGAATAATTTATTTAAACTGCGACACCAACTCAGGATTAAAAATGCATATATTTTGCCAACATTTTTCTAGAAGTTGCTAAAGCTTTTCCTTTGAACTGTGTAAATAGTAAATAATAACTACACAGTTAGATTATCAAAGACATTTAAGTTAAGATCATTGCATTATTGACTCTCTTCACAGACCAATTATCAAACAAAATTTCCTGTTTTATAAAGAGATTACATTGCTACCTATAGTTACTCCTACAATGGTGATTTTATTAGTTTCTCCCAGTGTCAAAATAAATAGTCCATTTGTAACATGTTATTAAATATGATTATTGAGAATTAAAATAATATTTTCTGGTTCTGTTGTATTTTTTTTTCAAAATGTGAATTTTAAAATTCCATGAGTTTAACCATCTGAATGAACAAAATAAGCTGCTATGACTATGGAAAATAGTTAGTTGACTTTGGAAAACTTACTTTATTTGATTGATGAATTGTTCTACTCAAACCTATACATATTGTGGAGCAGTAAACAAATAATCAATAAAGTGGATATAGGAATAATACAGTTAGACTCTTCATATAAAATAAGTGAAAGATTGTAAATTCCTTGGTACAAATATTATCTTATGTAAGATCTTTAGGTCCCACCAACTATCTAATACTTAGCTTGGAATAGGGTTGATATTAACTGATTTAATAAAAATAATTATATATTTGTTAACTATTCAGAAATGTCCACACCAGAGATATGAAACTTAAAGTGTATCTCTAAAATATTGGGCAATTTACCTCACCTTGGAAAGGGAACACATAACTAAATTTTAACATAAAATAACTTAAAAAATAACTAGCTTTCTTTAAATTATGCACGTTCAATTCATTAACTAGAAAGTACACTCCAAACTGTTAAATTAAAAATTTTGGTTTAAAATGATAAAGATTTAATATATTTATTTAATACCTTCTTAGGCATATATAATTCTTTAAGCAGTTATAATTACTCTGGTATTTGAATATGATAGGGCTTTGTGATAAAGTAATCGAGTAGAGAGTAGAAATCTGTGCTCCCAAAGGTATTTGTTGTTGAGAGAGCAGGAGGCCCTTACCACACGATTATTTCATCTCTATGTGGTTTGTGGCATGTGTGACAAGTATCAGCTGAAAACAGGATTTGGACTAATCACTACAAGGAATGAAGTGGTTATGATGATACTGTATCTTTTCTCAAAAGGGGCCAAGAAATTCAACATGTTTGGTGGTTTAGTGATCACAGGACACAAAACCAGATCAAAGATTATTGATGAATCTTTTGTAGGGTAAAACTGTTGTAATGTTAGCAGGAAAGAACTAATTGTTCTGTGGCATGGACTTTGGTTTAAACATTCTGCGATTAGAGGAATAAAAGCAATAATAGTTAATTAACATCTGTAGGAATGAATGTCTGAGAAGATTTTATAACTCTGAGTTAATGAATTAACGTCCCCCTCCCCTGCTTTTTGAGTGATTCTCCAAAGACAATTTCTATGTCCAACACGCCAAAGTTTGATCTATTTCTTTTCCTCTCTGAATCTAACAGCCAAATTCCAAGGAGGCTGAATTTGGTATTATTCGTGTGAAAGGTGAAACATAAAACATTTTACCAGACTTTGAAATTAATGCTGCAAAGATTCTTTGTAAACGTACCGGATTCTTTCTGTTTCACTGCTAGTTATGGGTCTTCCGTCTCTAAGCCACTGGATAACTGGGGTAGGAATGCCATTGGCATTGCAGACCAGCTCAACATTTTCCCCTTCCAGGACACTGACTTCACTTGGAATTTCAGCACCAGCAACACTTGGAGGAACTTTGGAGAAATAAAAATGTCTGTTAACAAGGCACAATGATATAAATTCTAACAAATACAACAGAATCACAAAACAATATGTCATTTTTCATTTCATATTCTTCCTAAACTGTGGTTCAAGATAAAACTATTCTTATCCTCATAAATTATTTTTAAAGGAGGAACAGCTAAAGCAGTCATTTCAATATTCCTGGTATTTTGCTAAGTTGATATAATTATTTAGTCATAGGGACTGGTGACAAGTCTAACTCATGGACACACTTCCTAGCTAAGTAGAATCTCTCTTGGACTAAATTCTCAATAGACAGTTTACAATTAATATAACTCAAGAGAATCCATTTTATAAAAATCTTAGCATAACGGTCTGAGAAATGTAACTATTGGGTTATTTCTTTCTCCATATGCAATTTAAATATTATTTATTCTGAACAATGGCTAGGTTTATTGTTGTCTGTCCTCTTTTTCTAACCATGTTTGGTTTATACTTTAATGATTCAATCGAGAAATAATGTATAATAAAAATATTGACAATGGTATCAAACAGAAACGCATTTGAATTCCTCTTCCATATAATCATAGTGGTCTGCTAGGGCAGCTCATGTCAGTTTACAACAGCCAATTTTGCATGTCTTCCCTACTCCATGTTCAGTGACATCATGTTGGTAGTTTGAAATGAGCCATGGTGGGTATATTTACACCATGGAAACTTGCAAATTATTGGCAACAATTCAGGACCTTTTTATCTGGAAAGTTAATTATAAACATTCACCAGCACACCACTGCACACTTTCCAAATCTAATGTTAGTCATCCAGAAGATAATAATAATTATACCAAATATACAGAATTGAGAGCACTAAAGAAGTCAAATCAATGTTAATAAAAAAATATCCTTTAATGAGTGTCTAACATATGACAAGCACTGTACTATGCCCTACTGCATAAATTATTTCTAGTCTTAGGACATAATGATGCATGTAGAACATCTGGTAAAACATCTGGTCACACCACATACTCCATGATTAACAGCTATTATTATTAATGCATTAAATATAATAACACACAAAATTTCTGATTCTGAATCCCTGAGTAGCTATTTTCCCCTTTTGTTGCTGAAATCTCAAAGTATTACTAATCCAAGAAACCACTGATGCCCATAAACTTATTTTACTTTCTGTTTAATTTCATTATTTTGTAGTTAGCTTTAGCAGAGCACACAACAGATCCATAATAATGTGTAATTTATGGAAATTTTTTTCAAAATAACTATATTAACATTGGGAAAAAGGAAGCATTTCGACTTAGTTTCAAGTTAGACTTCCATTTCAATTAACTATTGGGACATAAATACCAACTAGAGGTTTATTGAAAATAAAAAAGTATACAAGTTCTTGCATTGCTCAATACTACACTGGAACATAGTAGGATTAAGTATTCGTTGGATGAATTAAATGCTTCTTTTTCTCAACCCAAAATAGCATAAGATTCATGATTACTTAAATTTACCCAAACTCCTCCCTGTAGTTACAGCCTTCTCATGAATTAAATATTAGTGATATATTTAAATAAGAACAAACCTATGAGCTTAGCCTCAAAATAAATTATGCTAGTTTTAAGTAAATAAGTATAATTCAGTAAGAATTTTGGTAAACATAGAAAAAATAAAGATTATAAAATTTCCGCTATTCTTTTTTTCCACATCTATGCCAATTCCCATGAAAATAGAATCTACAGGTAAATGTAGGGCAGAGCATTGACAATACTTTTTGTTGATCTAAAGACTTTGAATAAATTACAAATGATCTCTCTAACTGTAAACATATTTTGTACTATAAGAAAGAATATGCTAAAGATATTGAAGATACATCCCATACCTTGAATAGAAAGAACGTAATTTTTCTGTGCTTTTCCTTCCATATTTGATGCAATGCATGTGTAGTTTCCGCTATCTGAACGCTGAGACCGGGCAATTTGGAGTTTGCTACCTCCAGACAAAATATGAACTTCAAGTGAGTCAGAATTTTCTAGAGGCAGAAACAAAGCAACGCAAAACAAAACATTAAAGAAGCTTTTATTTCAACCTTTACAATTCAGCATAAAAATGTCTTGTTTCTTGTGATAGCTTTCTCATGGGACGGGGGTTGGGGCTGGGTGAACAAGGAGAAAGGGATTAAGAAGGACAAATTTTCAGTCATAAAAATAATCACAGAGATGTAAAGTAGAGCCTAGGGCATCTAGTCAGTAATACTGGAATAACTACATATGGTGCCAGCTGGGTACTAGACTTTTTGGGGTGGCCACTTTGTGAGGTATATAAATGTCTAATTATTATGTTGTTCACCTGAAACAAATATAATAGTATGTCAACTGTGATTAAAAAATGATTGTTAAAATGTTCTTCCTTCATACTGTTATTTTAAATGAGAGCCTTTTTGAAAGAGGCAGAGGAAATTCCCTTTATAAAATAAAATAACTTTGAGTCTATTTTGGAAGTTTATGTGTCTGTACATCAGGCTTTCTGAACTAAGCACAGCTATGAGCATGATCTGACAATGTGCTGGTTTATAAATCTAGTGCATTCAGAGCAAAAGGAAACCGCAGCCCACGCACAGCTGCATTACCTATGGGCTTGAGGTTCTTCATCCACGCGATGGTGGGAGGCGGGATCCCAGTGGCATCGCACGTTAAAGTCACAGGGTTGCTGATTGTCTCAACAACCACTTCTGTTTCGGGTCCTTCGATACTGGGCGGCACTGTAAAAGGACAGAAGAAAATCATGTGTCCCCGTTACGCTAATTCAGGCCACTTTCTTTCATTGGCATATCTGGGGGAAAAAGAGTTGTATTAGAGGCAGATGCTCACCATATACATTGAGGTGGAAATTTTTATCATCCCGTCCTGCTACATTTATAGCTCTACATACATACTGGCCTGTGTCAGATACCTAAAAGAAAAAGATACTATTGTATGTGCTCCATTGGGTTACAGATGACCAATCACACTGTTCCAGTGCAGATTAAATCACCAGTCATCTTTATGCTCAAACGCCCCAGGTCTAATTGCTTTCTGCAATCCTGCGTTTTTATGAAAATAAGGTCAATGGCCTGGACGATGTTATTTTATCATAAACTGTAGTAAAGGGAACATGCAACGCCCAAGGCTCTCTTCCAAAACCCACCAAGGAGTCATGACATGCAAACAAGAATAAAAGATGCACCTCAGCTTTCTTGATGTGCAGCATTTGTCCACCTGCTAAAACCTCCACGTGAGTAGACTCTGTTATCATCCGCCCGTTCTTATACCACGTGACGACTGGAGGTGGGACAGCGTTGGACTCACACTCCAATGACACTGAGGTCCCCTCTCTTACATTGACTACAGAAAGCGAGTCACCGCCATGATCTTTAATGCTGGGAGGTACTGAGGGAAAGAAACAAGAACAGAAGGTGTGTTTTTTTCATTAAGGTGTGCAGATGGAAAATATGTCATACCAGTTTAAAAGTGAAAGGATTTTATGAGCAGAGTGAAAACAAACCATAAACCGTCAGGGAGACTTTTTTCTTGCTTTCGCCAGCTTGGTTAATAGCTATACATGTGTACTGACCACCATCAGATTCCTTGGCCCGAATAATCTGTAGAGTTCGACCGCCTGTGGGCAAATATAATGGAAATTGAAGAGTGGTATCGAGGTTGTTCTAATAACTATTTTATCAATAAGATAAATTGACAAAATATTCCACTGTAACATTTATATGGCAGCATTTCATAGTTAAGATGAAAGAATTGAATCTGTTTTATTTGATCCTTCCTTCAGGATTGATTCTACTTCTTTATAAAAAGTGAACTTCATAATTTTTCTCTCTCCATTAACTAAACATGGAGAGAACTGTTTGATATAGATCCCAATGAGTAAACAGTAATTGTACTACAGTCAAATACGTTAACAAGCATTTCCTGCGTTTAAATCTCCCACAATGCAGAAGGATCTGTCTGTCCATCTACCTATTTTTCCGTCATCAAGGGGCTCTAGGATTGATTAAAAACAACCAGTGAATTATCCAATGAAAGCACTATTTACTGGCCTATCACCCCCATGGAATTGCTAAGGAGTTCTGTTTCTAAACTTCCTAATTTCTTGAAGTAGACCTTGCGACTGTGCATTGCCACTAAAATCATGAAAGTCTATACAATCTTATCCTAATGGCCCCATTAGGTAAAGAGGCATGTGATTTGAACAAACAACCGGAGCAAGACGAAAGTTTGGAAAGGGACTAAGCGGAAATGCCATTTGTATTTAAAATAAAGGAGCATGAGAACACTTTGCCCACCTTATAAGAGTAACGAGTTCCTTACCAGGCACAATGAGGGCATTGGTGTTCGGCTTGATAGGCTGTTCGTTCTTCAGCCAGCTGAGATCAGGAGGTGGAAAGCCAGAGACCTCACAGGTCAGAGAGATGAAGTTGTTCACCACAACAGTGAGGTTTTCAGGGTTAGGACCAATGACACTTGGAGGAACTGTAAGAGTAAATGTATTAAAAGTGAGATCTGATGTGACTAGTAATACACACTGCAACTTATTAATATAAGTCCAGCCACTGTACTCTGCCAAAGCACCGTGTTACTGACACTGGTAACCACCCCGCTGTCTTCCCCAGGATTCCCAATGCCTTCATCACACTATGTCCATCAGTCTTGCTTCTCCCAATGACAGAGTGCTAGAATTTTCAGGAAATGTAGTTGGCAATTCCTAAGATGGTTTTGGCAATGTGCAAAGAAACACCCGGTAGTGCTTTTCGTTAAGTTTGCATATTCTTGTTTTTAATGTTACATTCTTATTTAAAGTTTTTATCCTCCTGCTTATAGCATTTATAAGGTAGAAATTTAATTTTAGGGGTTATCTGTCTATCAATACATTTACAGGTTATTTCAACAATGAAATCAATGTCTTCCAAGATGAGCAGAAAACTTAAGAAATAAACAATACCATAGTTCGTTCAAAACAAACAAACAAGGAATTCCACAAGCAAAAGCAGTGCAGAGAAAAAATGAAGTAAAAAAGATAAGATTAATAATGCATTAAGTTCTTGCATAAGTTTTTGTGCTAGATATAGCTTTTATCCTGGGAATTCATAACACATCTGTTTCTGTTTGGTCAGATTTATTCATTAAAAGAACCTCAAAGATATTAATGAAGCACCTATTGTAAGTGACTCCCTGTGCTAAAAACCGGGGATACAAAGGTGGAAGTGTTTCAAATATGAAACACCAAACATTGCTAGACATAGATATCCCCTGCATGTCATATCAGAAAAGAACATCTATGTTCTTTTCAGGTCCTTTCAGGGGAGAAATTTTTCATGAAATTTCAAATTTCAGCTCTCTCCAACACAAGCCACAATTTTATATCTATGTAGCATACATATAAAGGAAATCTTTTATAACGATTGTTCACCATTTCTAAGTCAATATTCTGAAAGCAGGTGTGTGTCACACAAAAAAACTACTCTTTTGTAGAAGACAAACAATGGCTTTTTTTTTTAAGCCAAAAAGAAAAAGTATTTATGGAGTGACCAGCATATATTGAAAACTTAAAATGTGATGAATGAATTCGGTGTGCTGGTGGTTTTTGGAATGATTTCACTCCTAAGTGACTTCTTTTCCAGGGAGTATATGAGGTACTAGAGGATGTAGCTCAACATGAATTCCACCCTTAATGACAGAAACTGGTTTCACTCAGGACTAGTGAATGAATTTTTATGAGTGAAAGATCTATATTTAGTCCAAACTTCATAAAAACATGTAATCTTAGGGATTTCAGATTTTGACTTTTTTTCTTTCTTTTTCTTTTCTTTTTTTTTAAACTTTCAAATATGTAGAAGTTACTACCTTCTCTTGAGGGACTAGAATAATGTAAAAACAGGCTCCCAGAAGCTCTGTACTTTGTACCTTATAAATCCTACTAGCTGCGGTGGGGAGAGAGGGAGGCGATTGTATGAATGCAGGCCCCACACACAGTTTCAAGTTAAAAATACATGAAAAGCCTCCATAATGTAAAACACAGTTTTCCTGCCGTTTCAAGCACACCCCTAGCAGATGCTTTTGGAACTGAGCTCTTACCGTGAACATTGAGGTTAAAATATTTTTTGGCACTTCCAGCCGTGTTCTCAGCAATACACACATACCTGCCAATATCTGTTATTTGAGTATTTAGAATCTGAGGGAAAAATAAAGAAATTCCAACTGAATTTTTTTTTATAAAGCCACTTGTCATCATGTTGAGAATGAATAATATGTATCCTCTCCAGGTGGACATAAAAAGAACATTTATATATAATAGCATTGGTGCTGGCTTGTATTAATCAGGTCAATCAAATAAGTATTTATTTATAAAGATTTCCAATCAGGAAAGGCAATTTTATACATCCTTGTGGTCTACTGACTACAAAAGTGCCCCAAATTATTCTCCCACTTTCCCATCTACCTTCCACAATGTGACTTTGAAACTCCCCCCATCACCAGGTAAAGATGTGGAATTTGGCCCTAGCTGGTTTGGCTCAGTGAATAGAGCATCAGCCCATGGACAAGATCCCAGGTTTGATTCCAGTCAAGGGCACATACCTCGATTGCAGGCTCCATCCCTGGCCCAGATCTGGGTGCATGTGTGGGAGGCAACCAATGGATGTGTCTCTCTCACATTGATGTTTCTCCTCTCCGCCTTTTCCACTGTCTCTAAAAATCAATGGGAAAATATCCTCAAATGAGGATTAACAAGAGAAAACAAAAAAAGATGTGGAATTTGTGTGGTTTTGTGCCTGGCCTTGACCCACAGAATGTGATGGAAATGACAGTGTGCCATTTCAAACCTAGGCCTAAAAAAGGCATTG